TTGAGGTTTCTCTTGTGAAACCAATTTCTATTATAAATACTTACCACAGTCATTATAATGCATATTCCAACCTTACTTGGCTCTTTACATACGTAAATAAAGAATTTTTCCCCCCATGGGGAACCCCTGGGAAACCCACCAATCAGACGGCAGTATTCACGCACGTGATAAGACACGAAGCCATGCTTCCCACTTCATAATTCCTTCAGCCGGCCGTGTTTACGGACGTGTTTTGGTGTCTACGGGGTTCCAACTGCAACAGGCGTTGTTTGTACCCATACATATCGCATCCTTTAATACTATATAACTTTATTTTGTTTTAATTTAGCGTTTTGCTTTAATTTGCGCCGTTTTGCGACCAGGCTCCGGCCACGTGTTCGCGTTTTGACGGTTTGTTTACTTGAGATGGAGACTCCTCCTTCTCAAAGGCGCTGTCCTGGGGGTCATTTATTTGAGGTTTCCGACCCCCACCCTTACTGTCCTGGCTGTCGGTCTTGCTCTCTGGAGCAGCCGTGTGAAATTTGCCGTGCCTGGCAGCCGACTCCTGCCGGTGGTTCTCCCTGCCCGCGAGGGCGTGCAGGTAAGTCGGGTAGGAGGAGTAGGGTTGGGGCGAGGGCTAAGGCTAGACCTAAGCCCTCGGAGAACACCAGCGGAATTCCGACCTCTGTTGAGTCTTCCCTGGGGTTCGTTTCGGCGGTTTCGCCCTTACCGGGGCCGTTGTGAAACAATTTGTTTCATTGGACCCAGACCTTTCTCTCACCCCCCCTTCCGTTTTGTCGGTCGATGTGGGTGAGGGTTTGGGCTCTGTCCTGGTAACCACGGTGACTAGGGGACAGGGGGGCGGCCTTCTCTCCCAATTTGTGGTGGGAGGACAGGTGGCCCAACATTCCCTTGGGAATGTTAAACAGGCCAGCCATGTTGTGTCTGCAGATGCTTCTGTTGGTGGCCTCCTGCCGGTCCGCTCCACTCCTAAGGGTGTTGGTGTCGGAGACCGGCCCCCGGCAGTTTTGTCTGCTCCCGGGGTTCCTTGCATCCCTGATGTAGCCCCTGGCGTGGTGATGGCGTCTAGCACGCCGTCCATGACTGTGCAGCATTTGCTGCCCGATCCTGTGTTATGCCTCGGCCTCGCTAGCCCAAGCTGGATTTTACGGTGGTGTGAGCACTGGTGTAAAAACCTATGCTTCCAGCTCTATCCCTTGTGCCTCCTCCCAAGGTTTTCCTATGGTAGGTGCCAGCGCAGCTGCGTTTGGTTTTGCTGGGGCACGCTGCGCCCCTGGTGGGGCTTTTTTTACTGGCCCTACAGGTTTTGGCTCTGCTGTAGGTCAATCTGGGTGGAGTTGGTCAGGTCAGCCAGGTGTGGCTTATGGCGGCACATGTGTAGGTGACCCTAGGTTCCCTAACACCCCCCCCCCCCCCAAACCGGTCCTGCCTCCGGTTTCGGGCATCAGGTTTGTAGCTCTGTTCCAGGGTCCTCCCTGGTTTATCCCACCTATTTGCAGGGTGGGAATGGAGTTATTGGGGTCAACAGGCNACGTTGGCTCGAGCTCCTATTTATGAATTCGAGTCTACCAGTAACTTCCGCTGTCCTGTGTCAACTCCTACCTTACAGCAGGTTCAAGGGTCTCTTGGTCCTGCTNTTATTGGGGTCAACAGGCTCCTTTTTATGCTCCGCCCCAACCACCGACCGCCTATGGGCAGTCTTGGGGTTTCTCCCAGCAGGGGGCTTTTCCAGCCGCTCCCCCTCCACCCCAGGGTGGTATGGGTTTCCAGCCTGGATATGCCCCCCCCGCCTTCTTGCCTGCGGCGATGGGGCCCCCCCTCCATCCGCCACCGAGCCGTTCGCGTAAGCGTTCGCGCTCCCGGCCAGCTTCTGCTGCCGGTTCTGTCAGGCAGAGACCGCGTGATGCTAGGGCTGCTGGTCGTGCTGCGTTGGCTCGAGCTCCTATTTTGGAATTCGAGTCTACCAGTAACTTCCGCTGTCCTGTGTCAACTCCTACCTTACAGCAGGTTCCAGGGTCTCTTGGTCCTGCTCCTGCTGTCTCTCAGGGACTATCGCTTGCCCCGATAGTTCCGTCGGGTAGGTCACGTTCTCTTTCCCCTCCTCGCACCCCTCCTCGGAGGGCGACGTTGATGGAGGTGGATTCTGCGGGTGCCTCTCCTAGTGATGAGAGGGACGTTCTTCAGGGCTCTCCCGGTTGCTCCAATTTTACGGAGACTCAGGATGAGGATAGAGTCGGCGAGTTTACTGACTCTGATTTGGAGTCGTTGGATTCGTCTGGGTTGGACTCGGAAGGTCCTTCTGATGTGTCCCAATCCCGACCCCGAGATGCTGACCCGGTGCCTCCAGAGGTTTCGGCTTCGTTTCGCACTTTACGTGCAGAAGTTATGAAGCTTCTGGGGGACAGGGTTTGCCCACGCCCTTCGACGGATTCGGCCGTCCCGGAGCGCACTTCGCTCATTCAGAGCATGTTGCCTCCCCTAGCATCTGCCTCCTCGGCCTCTGCTAGGTCTCTTGCGGAGGGACGAGGCGTGGCTTCGTCCCTCGCTCAGGTCAACGCTTTATTAAAGCAGAAGGTGAGCAAGGCTCGCAAGCCTTTTTCCCTCTCAGCTTTACAGGTCGTGGATGCCGACATCGCAGATTTAGCTGCAGATACATACCGCATCCACGACCCAGTCTTGGCCCCTTATTCTGTTTCCCTTTGAGAGTGATCTGGATAAGTGGCCAGGACTCTGTGTTGACCAGGTTGTGATGGGGCCAAGGGAGCACTCTAAGTTGGAGCGTCTCCTTAGGCTGGCTCTCCATGTTCTGTCCTACGCAGACTGGTTTACTTCTGCGTTGCTGGCTGCGAGCTGCAAGTCGGTGGAGCAGCTCCCCAGCAAGGTTGGACTGATGGAGCGCCTCAGCCAGGCAATTTGCAAGGCACATCTTGATGCGATGGCCTTACTGTCGGCTGCCATGTCACACCTTGTTGTTGCCGCCGGTTGTCGGTCCTTTCTGGACTGCCAGTTGGCGATTCCTATCGGGCTACCCTTTTGGAGGCTCCCTTGACTGGCTAGGATTTGTTTGGCGGGGTCCTTCCCTCAGTGCAATCTGAGATGAGGTTGGACCCGTTTGCATCTGAGGATGCAAGCCACAACTCCGCAGGCAAGGGCGCTAGCAGGAAGAGGCAGGCTTCTGGCTCCTCCAGGCGTAGGAGGAAGAGGGCAAAGACGACTGCTTTTCAGCAGCAGGCTGCCCCTCCGACTTCCGCTCCGGCAGAACGTCGGAAATCTTCCTTCCGCGGTAGGGGTTCCCATAGGGGTCGAGGCAAAGCCAAATTTTCCAGAGGTAGGAAGGGTTCCTGACTCTTCCTTGCCCTTGTCCACTGTCTGTCGCCGCTCCCACGCCCTTGGGCGCGGGTGGCTCCGCCGATGTGGTTTGGGAAGGGCTAGATTGGCCCCTTCCAGACTTGCCAGTAGGCGGTCTGCTGTCCCATTTCGTTCCTCAGTGGAAAGAAATCACATCAGACAGTTGGGCCCTAGGGGTTGTGTCCAAGGGTCTCTGCATCCCGCTTCTTTGGGATCCACCTCTGGCGCGAGAGCCTATCTTTTTCCCTTCTCTTTCCGATCCGGGAAAGGTGGAGGCTCTCAGGTCAGAGGTTCAGGCCATGATCGCGAAGGGCGCGATAGAGGAACTTTCACCGGACCAGTGGTCTCCAGGGTTTTACTCCCGAGTCTTCCTCGTGAAGAAGAAGTCTGGTGCCTGGAGGCCTATTATCGACCTTAGTACGTTCAACATGTACGTCGATTCCCCGCACTTCCAGATGGAAACACCACGGCGCATCATTGCGTCAGTGCGTCCAGGGATGTGGGCTACGTCCATCGATCTGAAGGATCCTTGCTTTCACATCCCGGTCAGGAGGTCGGCCAGGAAGTTCCTCAGGTTCACTTTCGAGCAGAAGGTTTACCAGTTTCACGCTATGCCCTTCGGCCTCACTACGGCCCCCTTGGTTTTCACCAAGTTGTTGCAGGTAGTAGTGGGGCACCTCCACAGTCTCGGGGTAGATGCACACATCTACTTCGACGACTCCCTGTTGCTCCAAGTGGATCCAGTTATCCTGTCCCGGAGCACGAGGTCGGTTCTGGGAGTTCTGTGCCGCCTAGGGGACATCCCTTCCAGGGAGAAGTCGGAGGTTCTCCCCTCCCAAGATTTTGTTTTACTCGGTTATCGGTTCAGAACCGATCTGGGGTTTGTCCTTCCACCAGTGTCCAAGTTCGAGAAGGCCTCTCTGTTGGTCTCCGTTCTGGTCGGTGTGGAGCGAATTCAGGTCCGATGGTTCCTTCGGTTCCTCGGTTACCTGAATTCACTGGCGGATGTGGTTCCCTTGGGTCGGCTTCACATCCGTCCGCTCCAGCTTTTCCTTCTGTCAGTTTGGTCTCCGGCGTCTCAGCAATGGGATGTGTACATTCCTCTGCTGGAGTCGGTGAAGGAATCAGCTTGTTGGTGGACTCTCGAGAGCAATGTCTTGGCAGGAGTTCCTCTGGTTCGGGCATCTCCTGCTATGACCCTTTACACTGACACGTCCATGACCGGTTGGGGTGCATACCTTTCCGGTCAGACGTCGGCGGGGGTGTGGTCGGGGGAACAGCTTTCAGAACACATCAATGTTCTGAAAATGCGTGCTGTTCTGTTGGCCCTTCGGGGTCTTCGACCTCAAGTTTCTTTAATTTTGAATACTTCCCCAGTACTATTATGTTAACATTTATTTGTGTTCACAATTTTGGCTGACATGGTAACAAGGTCATATTTTCAGTCAATTTTGACAGGTTTTCACCTAGATTTTCACAACCTAGGTTTTCACCTAGTTTTTCTCTTAGCTACCATAGAGCACACTCTTGAACAAACTTTATATTTCTTCTTAAGATGTATTACAGGTGCCTACACATTATCCTTTGATATTAAGTTTGTTCAAGCATGCGCTCTATAGTTTCTAGGAGAAAAACTATGCAAAATATCACAATATTCACTGAATATTCAAATTTTTCTTATTTATGCAAATTTGAACTTGTTAGCATGGCAACAATAATTAGAAATATAAATAGTCCTTTAACATTGTAATATTTTTTTTATTTACCTTGATCATATATTCAACACGGCTATGCACATGTCTCTCTATCACAGATTCAACCCAGATCAATGGCTTCACCTAGAAAAAATAAACCATTATATTTGTTAAAATTTTTCCAAAAACTCGAAATGGTTGTGTGTCTTGGTAAATGGACAATGTATAGTAATATTTTGTAAATTCAATAAAAAAAATAACATCACCTGAAAAATCAGTTATTAAAGTATACATTCCATTAAATTGAATTGTACATTACTTACATGTGTGGTCAGTCTGTAGGACATGAGTTCAAACTCGCCATCTGGAGGAATGAAGGATATTGTACGGTCATTCTCAAACCTTGGTAGACGTACACACTGGTGAAACTTGACATCCTCCAGTTCCACAGACTTACTCTTTCCTCCTTCAGAAAATCACAACAAAACATAACAAGTTTAAACACACAAGTTAAACATCTAGATGTTATAGCAATTCTAAGGGACAGAAAACGTTAGTCCCCTACAGACATATTTCATTATATAATGTATTATTATTAAAGATCCTTGGTGGCAAATACACACAAATTGGATTTTGTTATTTATAAATTAATGTGTGTTGATACAACGACATGTACCTCCATTCAAAAATAATTCAAAACTAAGAAATATGTGATTTTTTTCATTGATATAGTAATTGTGAAATTGGTTGATAATTCATGTCATGTACACAATAACACCCAGGTAACTAAAAGTGATTCAAGTTACATGAAGTTAATACAATTCAGGGGACATAACTCTCACACCCATAACTGAAGTAAATTTGGAAGCCGACATAAAGATCTTTTCATATCATTATTATTCAAACAAATATTTTCCTTTTCTCCTCTTACTATCAGTGCACATAATTATATATGAACAAGTCTGAAAATGTCTGTGATAAAACCAACTTATTGTCACTCCAAGATGTTTTGGGGCACAAAATGGGGTACAAAAACAATGTTCTCATTTCCTACTCGGAGGGTAAGATACCTACTTCCTGTACTTTCAAACAAGACTTTGTCATTAAGACCCAGACGGAGTTCTGGCATTCCGGACAGATACACTCTCATCTTGACGGCCCCTACTATTTCACTACGCAGCACGTTCCCATTGGCACTCACCTGTGAAACAGAGCAAGGTAAAAAAGTCGAACAGCAACCTCTGTATAAAATTTCGACTAATACTGCTGGTCTCAAATCAATAACTGGATATGAATAACTCTACATAATAAAATATTAATCAAATAATTTGTTTTTGTTAAGCAGACAATTTGTGTGAAGATCACTGAAACTATCACAAATCAATTAATAAGGAAACTGCAAGTATGCAACATTATGTTAATGGCAGAGAATAGAATGTAATAAACTAAGAAACTTTCACACTCTAATACAGTAACTGTGGAATTCTCTCATGTGACAATATGTTATGAAAGAATTCTAATTGCGTCACATTGTCATTTTCTGATTCATTGTACTTGTTATTACCTATATAAAACTGTATTTAAAGGGGCATCACGGTGAAGTAACTTTATTTTTTGCCTTTTTTTCAAATACTACATAAACATATCAAGTGAAACTCCTTATGGAAAATAACGATCGGATTTGGCTGAAATAGATTCGTAAAAATGATTAAATCTAAGAAAATCATCGGTATTTCTACCTGTCTGACCAACGTTTTGTTCAGGGATTTCCCTCTATTAGCACATGCGCATAGCACACCATTTCTTTGTAAACAAAATGACTGGCCGTGTGAAGTAAGCGAAAGAAAAGTGTTGTACCGTGTCAGCTACGAAACGAAAAGTTGTCAAATGGTCAAAAGATAGCGCAAGGAGTATGTTACGGAATCATTATTGCAGGTGGGCAGTATTCAAAGGAGAAAATAACTGCCGTAGCAGTTAGTACGGTGCATGTATTCTTCCGGATAGCCGGTTAAGCTGAAATGGAATCGACAGAAATGCTAGCGCTGTTTATGTTATGAATAAATATCTAAAACTATTAAGCTCGCTAGTATCTTTGTCTGAGTTTGAACACAGATGAACTTAGTTTAATATGTTAATGGGCATGTATTGGAGAGAGTTTACTTTGTGTTTCTATAATTATACAGTGGTTTATGCGAAAGGAAGGGATAAGTGACTGGTTAGTTTGATTTTTCCATGAGGCCCTCCAAGGGATAACTGTTGTGATGGCCCACGGCGTATTTTCTGGGTCACCGAGATACGTGTTATCGAAGTCCGTGGATTTACATAATTTATAATATTACCGGGTTCAATAAAATGGTATGATTTAATTATATTGCTGAATTAAACGATTATTTTTGTTTTTACATGCAAGATTTAAATTAGTACTAATATGAATACCCGGCCTCCTCTGCCCCGGCAAAATATAAAAAAAAAATCAGAAAGGTTTGTCCCTTGGTGTAGGGAAGGTGTTTAGCCCCGTACCATCTGTACCGGCCACATTCCGGTACTAAATTCAATATATATTTAAATATATCTACTTTATGTTTATGCCTATTATCATTGTTGACATTTAATTGTAAATGTATGACGGGAGAAGGCTGTGATAAATTGTAAAAACTTGTGCCCCATCCCTTGTTTAATTTTATTGGCAACACATTTATGTTTAAAGCTAAATAAATTTAAATTCTGAATATTGGCAAGTGTGCAATTAACTTCTAATGATGAATAATTACTGTTCAATTAGTTTGAATACGGACTTAGAAATCATATAACTTGGTTTCTTAGTGCGGTAAGAAGTTGCAGTTGCATGACGGCCCCTCTCTGGGGGCCCCTTTGGAAACCGTTTCATCTCGCTCGCACCACATGTGTTTACTGCCTAGTCAGGTGACGTTATCGGCGCTATTTTTAGCAGGGCTTTCCCGAACAATTCAAGTGGTAAAAAAAAAAAAACGCCTTTTCACGTGATGTCCCTTTAACATGCGATACAAGTTGCAACACCACCTACCAGGAGGTTCACTGACTCAATCACGTCTAAAAACACTTCATTTTTCCGGTATTTTATTTTGTCTGAACGCCAGGAAACAGCATTTGTCACGGCCATTGGAGGTCGCGGTGCAATCTCTAGCTTGTGACTGTCTTGTGTTATATACCTGTTAATGGAAATGTCAACGGGTTGATGAAAGTATTTAGGATTCTTTATTTACTGTAAACCGATTTCTACGTTATACCAATTCTATATAAAGATGAGCCTTGTTAATCATGTCACCATTTATGGGTTGTACCTTTAACTAAGCACATCTAACACATTAAATCATAGTTATACATCTATTCAGAATCAAATCATATTTGAATTAGCAATCAGATCTCTACACAAATTAATGTGAAACATCTATTTCACAAAACTCCAGTGATTCAAAATTTTAAGATTTCATGTATTTCTGTATAAAATTAAAAATGCAGGTCGTGAACTAGTTTTCGCTTCATTTCCACTTACTTGAATAAGCTGCTCAATAAAGTCGACATACTACATAGCTAAAACTTTCTACTCCAACATTTGTAGCCTTTAACTGATGTAATATGATTTGACATCTGATCTCTATTTGGGCATGAAATGCACCAACATTCATAAACTCAATAATTGAAATGAGAAAAGTAGTGAAATCATAGAATCAGCAATAGTTCGAAGATTTTAGCCAAAGCAAGCTAATATCAGTATTACAACTCTTAATGAGACCTTGACCAACAAGAAGATATAAAAAGAGGAGATAACCATTATCAACAATCACTTTTTTCAGTACAGCAGCCTATAGGGTCAAACTTACTCCTGTAATATCTTGCTGTCAGTGGTCTGTGGAAAGCCAAAGTCCATTACTTCATCTAACAACTCGTATATCAACACAAAGTTATCTCGTATACTCTCCTCCTCCATTTCTTTAAAGTACTCTAGGAAAATCTGAAATGGTACAACTTCACGTATGAATGTCATTATTCAAAGCTTAAATAAAAGTGTATGCGCATGTGAATCATAAGACTGTGCACAACTTAATTACCTCCCTTTAATTCCTTATTTACCTACCATAGTTTTTCTTGAAAATTTCCAAATAGGTGATAACTTCTTTAACTATTAAGCATGGAAAACATCATTGTATATGCCCATAAATGTAACTACCTGATATGAAACCTTTTTAAAAACCTGAAAATAATTTGACTTTTTCCTCAGGTAGGATTGATTTCAAAATTTCAATATATTTGCAGCAATTCTTCTGATTTGTCACTGTGTTACATTTACCTGGTAATATGGTTATGGTACTTACATATTAATGCCCTGAAATGCAAGACTCTAGTAGGAATTTTGATGTATTCAACTCCAGCAGTTTTATATCCAATTAAACTTACTTTCGTACAGTCACAATACACATTGAAGATATTTTGTGATATTGGAGTGACTTGGTATTCACACATCTATGATGGTGGTTTAATGTTGATGTTGATTAATAACTTTATTTGTGTCAAATTTAGAATTAAGTCTTAACTTTTGTTTTCTTAACTTCAAAATCTTTGGTATAGGCTAATAGATAGTTTATAGATACAAAAACCTACATATAATATTCAATTTTGACAATATCTGATAAAAGTATCTACCAATTTATATCCATTATTTCCAGAATGTTAATAGTGTGATCTGTAAATTATATAAATTCACAACCCCTCCCTATCTGAAACAAAAAATATCATGAAATAAGGCCAAATGATTCCTTTCAAAATTCACTGACCAAAATGAACTGACAGATGAACAACATTAAGTTACCTGTACAAGTTTGTGGAGAAAGGAGAAGACTAGAGCTATGTTAGCATTCTTCTTTGTAGACGCCACCAGATACAGATTACTGTACTTGATGTAGACGAAGGTGACATCTCCGTGCTGTATGATGGGAGAAACATTCCCGTCGTCCTCGATCTCCAACACGAGTGGCATGAACTTGTCAATCACTGACATGTCAATATCGCCACGGTAGTTACGGCATACCAGCACCTAAAGTCAAACAAAATAGTTGAAAAATTGTTTGAAACTTATTTCTACAAAATTTAGAGATGATTTAAAGATTTAAGCTTAATTCCCTGCCTGCATATTTATCTTTAGAAAACCCTTTCATAAAATGACCTCATTACTGAAGTATCTGGCTATAGGCTAGAAAAGTTTGGTGATTCAATTTCCAGAAGTTTGGTAAGCTGTTAAATCACCAGTTAGAATTGAAAAGAACACCTGGTTTATGTACAGCAGGAGTGATGAACTTACCTTGCCCTTGACATCCAACAGGTAAACTGCGGACGCCGACATAGTGCAGGTCTTTCAAGTATTAGGAAACTGTCAAAACTAAAGGAAAAAAACCAAAAGTTAATAAAGAGATGCGGAAAGTATTGTTGTTTATTACATATCTGCCCATGAAACACTTGTTTTCATTAATAAAAATGTAAATTTTCATTGCAGTGCACTTCACTAATGCAAAACAACCATCTCAGATTAAACCAGTGAAAATATAGAATACAAAACCATTTATTTTCACACTATTTTATGTTGTTTTTTTAAAATTCTAGTTTAAGTTTAGTTATATTAATCTATTTAATCATTCTTAGCCTTTTGGCCTGGATGGAAGTGCACAAAGTGTCTTGATTTTGGAGGAAACTTGAGTGACTGGAAAAAAATCATATGGCGGGGCAGGTGACCCAATACCTTTTTACATACAATTGAGAAATCAAACCCTGGCTGCTTTGGTGAAAGAGAGTGCCTTATACACTGCACTACCTGACCTCAGATTAACAGTGTAATAGCAGAAAGAGAAATGCAATTGCGAGACCGGGGTTCGAACCTGGGACCCTCCGAACTCTAGATGGACGCTCCACCAATTTAGCTACCATCGCCCCTGAAGACACAACTATTTTCATCTCAGATTCAGATATCCCATTGTTAAGCATTCACCCAGTGCTTGAAACATAGGTTGGCAAGCTTGCAAATTTTCTAACAGTTCGCACCAGGAACCATCCAAACTCTAGACAGACGCTCTACCAATCGAGCTACCTGCATGGTCACAGACAGTCAACCCAGTCCATTTCTGCTACACCAGTGTAATGGCATGTATTATTCTGTCAAATTTAATTTTTGCTATATTGGTTTATATGTATATTTGACTCAGGTCTCTTATTAGGAAGTTATTCCAATATTTGTATGCTGCATGAGATTAATGTTGGCGTGACCTTTCGTGCAAGCCTACATGTATATTTTGTGATGCATGTTTTAATTCATATTTGGTTGTGTCTTTATTACGTGTCATTTTCATCGTTGAAAGAAAAGCTCTGATGAGCTTACAGTGCTTTGTTCAAAGCATGATGTTGAATAAAAATACTTGTATTCTTGTATCCTGCATTACAATGGTCAGCGAAATGTCAGTTAGTCCCTATCATCACAGACTTTTAACAAAAAGATTTGGCAAGCCAAATTTTATGGTCTGTGATTATTATAAGATTGAGAAACGTTTGATACTTTTAATCTGAATAGAATATTTAATCAGTTTGCTTCCCATGAATTTTAACCAAATTAAACGCTTGTCTAGATCTATAACCACCAGCAGTAAATGGACTCGATAATCATGAAATAATTCAACACTTTGGATGTTTTGATGTGAGATGACAGTGTTAAGTAACCCAATATCATTGCCGTTGTGCCAATCGAGACAGAATCGACTTTTATCATGTAAGCCTAGCCCTTCTGAGGTATTTTTTATAACCGATCACCGATGTTTTTACATGCAAAATTTAAGGACCAGGGAATCGACGTTTTAAGCACACACAAACAATCAGATATCACGCTATGTAAGTTAAGTCCACACATGAACATTGACTGGACGTTAACGGTTGTTTGAAATGTCCGGAAACGCAAATTCACTGGCTGAAGTGGTTACCTGATTTTTCGATGTGGGATGTGGCCGGTGTGATGTATACAGGAAGTTGACATTTATTTTACCCACAATCCCCGCAGCTCAAACTCTCTCTTACCTTTATAAACTTTGCGAACGCTGAAAACTCAGAAATGAAAGCTCTGTCGATGGTCGGATGACCTAACGTCCCTGCATTTGATTTCAGGTTAGACTCATATCTATTTTTAAGTTATGACAAACCAGATAAACTCACTTCGTGAGGTCTTTTGTTATAAATTAACTACCGGATAAGGAAGTTGTTTGATAACGCATGCGTGCTGTGTCGTCGCGAAGAGAAACAAATGGCGGACGAGAACTGTTAATGAGACATTACTTTCCAGTATTAACCGTCATTAAACTATCCGGTCATTATATGGATTAAGGAAACTAGAGGATCAACTTCCCTTGATATTACGAGACGCCTGTGCGTGACGGGTTTTTATAAAGTGACAGTAAGTAGCATGTGCTGTGAGATATATTTTTTTTCGACAGGTAAAAATGTGTTGCACTGTTATCTCCTCGCCGATTTTTTCCACTTCCGAAGAGCCAAGGAGACATTCTTATATCGATAAACAGTGTTTTCAATGAAACATTAACCTTGTAATGCAATGAACTTCCAATTTTCACCAATTATAAACAGAACAAAATGATAATTAACTTACCATCAACTAAAACCGATATAAGACTGCAGAAAAAAAATAATAACAGATTCTATATTATAAGTTTTTATTAACTAAATAAATATAACAAATAAATTTATAAAACTACATGAATTCGTTCAATTTGGTATCCTGAAAAAATTAATTAAAAATGTGAGCTTAAAAAAAAAAAGTTTTGATAATTAATTTGACGATCAAAGTTTTGTTTTTAATTCCAAACGAAACTTTTGTTCTTGCAGGTCACTGTAGAGAAATTCTTTTTAGTGTATTCGAGTTATCTTTCTTTCAACACTAAATCAAAGTAGACACACGGAAACATATGATGGCTACTTCCGACAATGGGAAATTTGCTAAAAATTGTTTGTTCTGATTTTTTTAAAAATACAGTTTTATGTTGCTAGTTTTTTGTTTCCTTTATTAGATTGTATGTATACATTTTTATGACAGTCTTCCGTAATATCAACAGTTTTCTGCCGATATGAGTACGAAATTGCGGATGCTTCTTAAGTGCGCGGAAAACGGTAACCCAAGAATACAGTAGGCCTACTGATACTGCCGTACAACAGGTGCTCGCATGGTTTGAAACTAATACTAGTAGGCCCTAAGATACTATTGGATTTTAGCAAGGACTATCCTAACCTAACCTAACTTATACTTTGGAGTTGCAAAATTTAATTTCAGCAGTAGCATATGACTGAGGGTGAATTAGAAATAATGATAAAATACTAGACTAAGTTTCCTCTGGCCCCGACGCGAGACTTAAGACATTTTGACAGATAGATGTCTGGTGTGGGGCCAGAGCACACTATGCTTTATGAAAACGTTGAGTTCTCCGACACCGTTTGGTATTGGGGAGTGACTATTCACGCAGCCCGGAAATCTTCTAAACAAGAATAATATTTTCCATTTTCTGTCCGGATCAGTATGGTTCGTTGATTACTCAGATTATTCAAATTATGAACAATTGAAAACCGAGGACACTACTGACAGTATTTACCAGCTGTTGGTGATAATAAGAGTGGATTTGGATCAATAAATAATCCATATATCAATATATGTGTGGTATGTGTTGTGTCATAGTAGATTTTTGTTAATTGTCACCAACTCAAAACTCCCTGATACCAAACAGTGTCAGATAATTCCACGTTTTCACATAGTATTGCACTCTGGGCCCCACCATACATATATCTGTCACAAAAAATAATCATAGGACTGAGGGAGTGTGTCCCTCTTTAGTCAATAATACTTTTTAATTGCAGTTTTATTCCGGGGAAGTTACCTCCAGGAAACCTCTGGCTAGTTATATTGACATAAGTTTCGGACTAGCATATACTCTTACCTCTAGACAGACAATCTGTCATGAGTCACTTGTTGGAGGGAAATGTAATATTAGGGGAAATGTGATATGAAGGAAAATGTGATATGAAGGAAAATGTGATATAAAAGGAAATGTGATATTATTAAGGATTTGTGATATAAAGTGAAATCATGTGATATTTACAGTAACTCTGTTTTTCTGTGAAAGTGAAACATATTTTGTAAATAATTTAAGTGCATTTATATGTAATTAACTTTAAGAAGGAAGTTTTAACAATACATAAACACAATTGACGCACCCCTTATCATAACAAATACAGAGCTAAGTCAGTAAATATATCTAACAGCTTATACCAAACAGCTGTTTCATGTTGGGTCTTCTGTTTTGCCTAGGAAAGATGTAGAAATAGACCATCAGGGATATCACTAGAAAAATTGTTATAGGTCTCGTAGTTAAAAGCATATAATACAAATACGTCTACATGTGATATATTGACCATATTGCTATATGATGTGATAGTAACTGGTGTTCATCTCAAATCACATACCGTAACAGTAAATGAACAAAATTTCATACTGTTTATAGAGAAAAGGATTTCCTTATGATATTAACTAAAATGTGTTATTAACTACTAGGACATTTATTCGAATCAACTGAAAGTACAAGAGCTGTACCAATTAATAAATTTTCGTTGCTAATTTCAGAAATGTTTTCGAGGGCTCATTTGCTAATAGAACGAGAATACGAAAAACTTTGTGAGGCTCCACCTTGGGTAAGTACATACTAAACTTTAAAAACTTATCAAGAATACATTATGGTGAAGAATTTTCTGTTCCAAAATCATTGTTACTACATGACTGTAGCAATGTATAGACCTAGACCAAATTCTTTACAGTTTGTGGGCAACTTTCCAGCCCTTAAAATTCCCCTCTCAGGCTCTGAGAAGTTGGGAAAAAAAATAAGTTGCCAGCATTCTTCCAAATGATACTCCAAGTTTGAAATTTCCTTCCAGTTTGGTGAAGGAATGGGATGCTCACACCAGAAAAAGGATAGAGGGGCACTTATAAGGGATGGGTCACTTATTAGGTCAAATACTGTAAGTGGGTTGTTAACAGTTTAGTAAGAGGGCACACTGAAGTGGCCCTTGAGTGGCCCTGTCACCTGTGGACACTGTCTTCATATGTCCTTAGTTGTAAGGAGGATGCAAAGTCAACTAGATCATTTGTTTTCGGGTATTGGAGGTACAAAAGTTGATCTTTTGCACATGTAAAAGTGCATCCATTTTTAACTCTTAGAATCTTAATCTTGTCTGTTAGGACTGTTTCCCTATCATACTTTACATTAGGAGTGCAGCAAGTCTACCTAGGTAACTTTGGTTCGCATGCTGTCACATTTACATGACTAGGAGGAGGGGAGGGGCTCAGGGATGTCGGGCCACCATATGCAAGTCACAACATTCAGATTGTGTCACAAAAAAAAATAATCCCAGGAGGGTCCAATCATTACTGGCCTCTGTTATCTTGAAATTGCAGACAATTAATATTGCATACTTTGCTTTCTATAAAGTATATAATGTAGCTGTTATGTGTATTATGGATAATATATATGGGGCAAAGAAGTAATTCCAACAGTGTGGACAAGTTATATATACTCATATCATCAATAGACAAATAACACAATGATGATATTGAGGGTACCTAGCTGTTGACCATCAAGTAGCATGAAAACCTATTTTTTGAGGCTGCAGTGGTGTGAGAGTCACTGGTGTTAGTAATTGTTGTCGGAGATCCTGAGTTTGAGGCCCAGGCAGGGCTTGAGTCATGAATTGCCTCCCATTATAATTTTTATCCCCCGCTTTCACCGAAACGGGAGATATTAATTTGGGTCTGTCTGTCTATCTGTCACGCTTCGTTTCCGTGCAATAACTAATAACTAATAACAAATGTTAACCGATTTTCTTCAACCTTGGTCATAGGGTTAAATGCCTTAAGGGCTTGGCAATGTTCGGTGACCACTTTCAGCAGACCCATTTGGGGGAGTTATGTCCCCTTGAATAATGAAAAACGACATTATCTGCAGTTTCCGCTTAATAACTCTTGCAAATATTAGCAAAATTCTTTCAAACTTGATAACAATGTGTGTGTTCCTCTGTCTTACCACCCATCTCGGGCACTCTTTGGTTTTCATGTGATAATTGCTGTAGATATTGTTAAGATGTTTCAACCAAATTCCTTATGCACATCCAACTCATGCTAAGTTTGCCAACCGATGTGATTTGTGTATATTTACAGATAATCAATGAGGTATAGGTTGTTTTTTGTCTTCAAGTTTCAAGCTATATATTATGTCTCAACAGCACGATACTCACTTGTTTAAACCTAACCTCAATAATGTTAACCCACAATATGTCCTACACATGGGGGATATACATTCCACGATTTTGCTTGTGGTTTCAGTGTTTTGCATAAACAAATTATTTTTACATGAACTATGAGAGAACTGTGGTTTATAAATACAATTCCCCATCAGAACTGTGGTTTATAAATACAATTCCCCATCAGAACTGTGGTTTATAAATACAATTCCCCATCAGAACTGTGGTTTATAAATACAATTCCCCATCAGAACTGTGGTTTATAAATACAATTCCCCATCAGAACTGTGGTTTATAAATACAATTCCCCATCAGAACTGTGGTTTATAAATACAATTCCCCATCAGAACTGTGGTTTATAAATACAATTCCCCATCAGAACTGTGGTTTATAAATACAATTCCCCATCAGAACTGTGGTTTATAAATACAATTCCCCATCAGAACTGTGGTTTATAAATACAATTCCCCATCAGAACTGTGGTTTATAAATACAATTCCCCATCAGAACTGTGGTTTATAAATACAATTCCCCATCAGAACTGTGGTTTATAAATACAATTCCCCATCAGAACTGTGGTTTATAAATACAATTCCCCATCAGAACTGTGGTTTATAAATACAATTCCCCATCAGAACTGTGCTTGATTACTTATTGTAGGGAATAGAAGCAAGGCCTCTTAAAGACGACAACATATTTGAATGGGCAGCCAAAATCAAAGGTCTCAAGAGTACTTTGTGGCAAGGTTGGTACTTGTAGCATGTAAATAAAACATTAGGAAAAACTAAAAACATTAATTGTAAATTTCATGATTACTGGTAAGTAATTTTATTATGTTGAATAAATTTGTGGGGAATTGCATTGTTTTGAAAAATATTTGTTTAATATGCAAAAAAAATGTTTAAATGGAAATTTTATGAAATAAGTTTATTTCGTTGTAAAGTACTGATACACACAAACATAGTGGATTTCTACCTACATTCTACAGCAGCCTTTGCCAACATGAATTTGGAAAAAATAATAATAATATTATATAAATTGAGAAAATATTTCTGTTTTTTGTCTCCCTTTATTTTGGGAAATTAAGGCAATTTTTTGGCTAGAAGAAGATGCTTTGTTTAACTTTTTTGTCTGTAAAGAAGACTGAAAAAATGGTTATTAATTTTCATTTAAATCTAAAAGGTTAAAAATGTACCCTTGCTACCAGTGGGATCATGTGAATTCATTGATATATGATGAAATGTGTTATTGATCAAAATATTTATTTTCCTTGATTTAGGAGGTATATTCCGTGTGTATGTTAAGTTTGATGAAAACTTTAGCCAAAAACCTCCCGAAATCTGTTTCCACACGATTCCTTTTCATCCTAATGGTAAGTATAAAGTTGTTATTTTGATTTTGACATTATGTTTTGCAGAGTAATGTCCCTTTGCATTAAAAAATATCCTTACTAATTCTCTTATAGTGCTGCATAGTTTGCAATGAAACTTTGTATATTTTATCAGTGTGGTAGGGAAGTTGCTTTCTATGGAAGTTATTTCACTATCAATTTATTGCAAAGGTGGAATTTATTTCAAGAGTAGGGGGAAGTATACATTTGCCTGTTGTATTCAAATTGATCACATTCAGATATTGATAATATGCACAGAAATGCTAAAATCTCTACATAATTGGAAAAGTTTGTTTATAAAAAATAAGCTTTTCTATCATTGGAGCCTGATACAGCTAGATCTTAGTGGCTCAAGTGATCTAGATTTATTGACTCAGTATATCTTGATCCTAGTGACCCATTTAATCAGGATCTAGGAACTCAGTAGATCTTGATCTAGTGACTCAGTAAATCAGGATCATAGTGACTCAGTTGATCAGGATCCTAGTGACTCAGTAGATCAGGATCCTAGTGACACAGAAGATCAGGATCCTAGTGACACAGTAGATCAGGATCCCAGTGACACACTAGATCAGGATCCTAGTGACGCAGTAGATCAGGATACTAGTGACACAGTAGATCAGGATCCCTGCAGTGACACAGAAGATCAGGATCCTAGTGACACAGTAGATCAGGATCCTAGTAACACAGTAAATCAGGATCCTAGTGATTCAGTAGATTGGGATCCTAGTGACACGGTAGATCAGGATCCCAGTGACACAGTAGATCACGATCCCTGCAGTGACACAGTAGATCAGGATCCTAGCGACACAGTAGATCAGGATCCTAGTGACGCAGGAGATCAGGATCCCAGTGACACACTAGATCAGGATCCTAGTGACTCAGTAGATCAGGATCCTAGTGACGCAGTAGATCAGGATACTAGTGACACAGTAGATCAGGATCCCTGCAGTGACACAGAAGATCAGGATCCTAGTGACACAGTAGATCAGGCTCCCAGTGACACAGTAGATCAGGATCCTAGTGACGCAGTAGGTCAGGATCCTAGTGACACAGTAGATCAGGATCCCCGTGACACAGTAGATCAGGATCCTAGTAACACAGTAAATCAGGATCCTAGTGATTCAGTAGATTGGGATCCTAGTGACACAGTAGATCAGGATCCCAGGGACACAGAAGATCAGGATCCTAGTAACACAGTAGATCAGGATCCTAGTGATTCAGTAGATTAGGATCCTAGTGACACAGTAGATCAGGATCCCCGTGACACAGTAGATCAGGATCCTAGTAACACAGTAGATCAGGATCCTAGTGACACAGTAGATCAGGCTCCCAGTGACACACTAGATCAGGATCCTAGTGACTCAGTAGATCAGGATCCTAGTGACGCAGTAGATCAGGATCCCAGTGACACACTAGATCAGGATCCTAGTGACTCAGTAGATCAGGATCCTAGTGACACAGAAGATCAGGATCCTAGTGACACAGTAGATCAGGCTCCCAGTGACACACTAGATCAGGATCCTAGTGACTCAGTAGATCAGGATCCTAGTGACGCAGTAGATCAGGATCCCTGCAGTGACACAGTAGATCAGGATCCTAGTGACGCAGGAGATCAGGATCCCAGTGACACACTAGATCAGGATCCTAGTGACTCAGTAGATCAGGATCCTAGTGACACAGAAGATCAGGATCCTAGTGACACAGTAGATCAGGATCCTAGTGACGCAGTAGGTCAGGATCCTAGTGACATAGTAGATCAGGATCCCTGCTGTGACACAGTAGATCAGGATCCTAGTGACACAGTAGATCAGGATCCCAGTGACACAGTAGATCAGGATCCTAGTAACACAGTAGATCAGGATCCTAGTGATTCAGTAGATTGGGATCCTAGTGACACAGTAGATCAGGATCCCAGTGACACAGTAGATCAGTATCCCTGCAGTGACACAGTAGATCAGGATCCTAATGACACAGTTGATCAGGATCCCAGTGACACAGTAGATCAGGATTCCTGCAGTGACACAGTAGATCAGGATCCTAGTGACCCAGTAGATCAGGATCCAAGTGAAACAGTAGATCAGGATCCCTGTAGTGACACAGTAAATCAGGATCTTAGTGCCACAGTAGATCAGGATCCCAGTGACACAGTAGAACAGGATCCCAGTGACACAGTAGATCAGGATCTAGTGACACAGTAGATCAGGATCCCAGTGACAAAGTAGATCAGGATCCCAGTGACACAGTAGATCAGGATTCCTGCAGTGACACAGTAGATCAGGATCCTAGTGACCCAGTAGATCAGGATCCAAGTGAAACAGTAGATCAGGATCCCTGTAGTGACACAGTAAATCAGGATCTTAGTGCCACAGTAGATCAGGATCCCAGTGACACAGTAGATCAGTATCCCTGCAGTGACACAGTAGATCAGGATCCTAATGACACAGTAGATCAGGATCCCAGTGACACAGTAGAACAGGATCCCAGTGACACAGTAGATCAGGATCCCTGCAGAGACACAGTAGATCAGGATCCTAGTGACACAGGAGATCAGGATCCAAGTGACACAGTAGATCAGGATCCCTGCAGTGGCACAGTAGATCAGGATCCTAGTGACACAGTAGAGCAGGATCCCAGTGACACAGTAGATCAGGATCCTTTCAGTGACACAGTAGATCAGGATCCTAGTGACGCAGTAGATCAGGATCCTAGTGCCACAGTAGATCAGGATCCCTGCAGTGACACAGAAGATCAGGATCCTAGTGACACACTAGATCAGTATCCCTGTGACACAGTAGATCAGGATCCTAATGACACAGTAGATCAGGATCCCAGTGACACAGTAGAACAGGATCCCTGCAGTGACACAGTAGATCAGGATCCTATTGACACAGTAGATCAGGATCCCAGTGACACAGTAGATAAGGATCCTAGTGACACAGTAGATCAGGATCCCTGCAGTGACGCAGTAGATCAGGATCCTAGTGACACAGTAGAGCAGGATCCCAGTGACACAGTAGATCAGGATCTAGTGACACAGTAGATCAGGATCCCAGTGACACAGTAGAACAGGATCCCTGCAGTGACACAGTAGATCAGGATCCCTGCAGTGGCACAGTAGATCAGGATCCTAGTGACACAGTAAATCAGGATCCCAGTGACACAGTAGATCAGCATCACTGCAGTGACACAGTAGATCAGGATCCTAGTGACCCAGTAGATCAGGATCCAAGTGAAACAGTAGATCAGGATCCCTGTAGTGACACAGTAAATCAGGATCTTAGTGCCACAGTAGATCAGGATCCCAGTGACACAGTAGAACAGGATCCCTGCAGTGACACAGTAGATCAGGATCCCTGCAGTGACACAGTAGATCAGGATCCTAGTGACACAGTAGATCAGGATCCAAGTGACACAGTAGATCAGGATCCCTGTAGTGACACAGTAGATCACGATCCTAGTGACACAGTAGATCAGGATCCCAGTGACAAAGGAGATCAGGATCCTAGTGACGCAGTAGATCAGTGACACAGTAGATCAGGATCCCAGTGACCCAGTAGATCAGGATCCCAGTGACACAGTAGATCGGGATCCTAGTGACACAGTAGATCAGGATCCTAGTGACGCAGTAGATCAGTGACACAGTAGATCAGGATCCCAGTGACACAGTAGATCGGGATCCTAGTGACACAGTAGATCAGGACCCTAGTGACACAGTAGATCAGGATCCCAGTGACACGGTAGATCAGGATCCTAGTGACACAGTAGATCAGTATCCCTGCAGTGACACAGTAGATCAGGATCCTAATGACACAGTTGATCAGGATCCCAGTGACACAGTAGATCAGGATTCCTGCAGTGACACAGTAGATCAGGATCCTAGTGACCCAGTAGATCAGGATCCAAGTGAAACAGTAGATCAGGATCCCTGTAGTGACACAGTAGATCACAATCCTAGTGACACAGTAGATCAGGATCCCAGTGGCACAGTAGATCAGGATCCTAGTGACACAGTAAATCAGGATCCCAGTGACACAGTAGATCAGCATCACTGCAGTGACACAGTAGATCAGGATCCTAGTGACACAGTAGATCAGGACCCCTGTGACACAGTAGATCAGGATCCTAGTGACACAGGAGATCAGGATCCAAGTGACACAGTAGATCAGGATCCTAGTAACACAGTAGATCAGGATCCTAGTGCCACAGTAGATCAGGATCCCAGTGACACACTAGACCAGGCTCCCAGTGACACAGTGGATCAGGATCCTAGTGACACAGTAGATCAGGACCCCTGTGACACAGTAGATCAGGATCCTAGTGACCCAGTAGATCAGGATCCAAGTGAAACAGTAGATCAGGATCCCTGTAGTGACACAGTAGATCAGGATCCCAGTGACACAGTGGATCAGGATCCTAGTGACACAGTAGATCAGGATCCCTGTGACACAGTAGATCAGGATCCTAGTGACCCAGTAGATCAGGATCCTAGTGATACAGTAGATCAGGATCCCTGCAGGGACACAGTAGATCAGGATCCTAGTGACACAGAAGATGAGGATCCCAGTGACACAGTAGATCAGGATCCCAGTGGCACAGTAGATCAGGATCCTAGTGACACAGTAGATCGGGATCCCAGTGACAAAGTAGATCAGGATCCTAGTAACACAGTAGATCAGGATCCTAGTGCCACAGTAGATCAGGATCCCAGTGACACAGTAGATCAGTATCCCTGCAGTGACACAGTAGATCAGGATCCCAGTGACCCAGTAGATCCGGATCCCTGCAGTGACACAGTAGATCAGGATCCTATTGACACAGTAGATCAGGATCCCAGTGACACAGTGGATCAGGATCCTAGTGACACAGTAGATCAGGACCCCTGTGACACAGTAGATCAGGATCCTAGTGACACAGTAGATCAGGATCCCAGTGACAAAGTAGATCAGGATCCTAGTGACGCAGTAGATCAGGATCCTTATGACGCAGTAGATCAGGATCCTAGTGACACAGTAGATCAGGATCCTAGTGACACAGTAGATCAGGATCCCAGTGACACAGTAGATCAGGATCCTAGTGACACAGTAGATCAGGATCCTAGTAACTCGGTAGATCAGGATCCTAGTGACACAGTAGATCAAGATCCTAGTGACACAGTTGATCTGGATTCTAGGGATTGATTTGATATGGATCCTAGTGAATCAGTTGATCTGGATCTTAGTGACTCAGTTGATCTCGATCCTAGAGATTGATTTGATCATGATCCTAGTGACTCAGTGTTGATCTTGATGTAGGAAGTCAGCTGATCACAATTCTTGTGACTCAGTGTTGATCTGGATCCTATTGACTCAGTTGATCAGGCTGTAGGAAATCAGTTGATCAGGATCTAGTGACTCAGTTGATCTGGATCCTAGTGACTCAGTTGATCAGGATCTAGTGACTCAGTTGATCTGGATCCTAGTGACTCAGTTGATCTGGATCTAGTGACTCCTAGCAGTTGAGGGGAGCCTCTGTTGACTTTATTTTTATTGATTAATATGCAGCAGTGCTGTAAGTCTCTTTTTTTCAGTTAGAGCATTATTGAAAGAGCATCCTCCAGCTCTGTTACAAATTCAAGTATTCATGATCAAAAGTCGCTAAATTAAATACACACAAACATTTAGTGATCTAAAGTATTTTATTAGCCTGTTTATATTGAAAATTATATTATTTTCCTTTCAGTGGACATGATTACTGGTCGGCCATGTATAGATTTCCTTGATGACCATTCCAAGTGGAAAGAGTCCTACAGTTTATCCTTCATTCTTGTCACCATACAGGTAAAATGCCATAATATCACCATACAGGTCAAATGCCATAATATCACCATACAGGTCAAATGCCATAATATCACCATACAGGTAAAATGCCATAATATCACCATACTGGTCAAATGCCATAATATCACCATACAGGTCAAATGCCATAATATCACCATACAGGTCAAATGCCATAATATCACCCTAAAGGTACAATATCGAAACCTTTTCATCGCCATACAGGTATGAATTCATCCTCAGCACCATAAAAGTCAAATTCCTCATCACCATACATGTAAAAAAAAACACACTTTTTTATCAGCATTCACATAAAATATTTTCTAATCATGACTTTTATATACCTTTTCATCACCATACATGTAAAATACCTTTTCATCACCATACAAATGAAATATCTTCTCTTCACCATACATATAAAATACCTTTTCATCTCCATACAAATGAAATATCTTCTCTTCACCATACATATAAAATACCATTTCATCACCATACAAATGAAATATCTTCTCTTTACCATACATATAAAATACCTTTTCATCTCCATACAAATGAAATATCTTCTCTTCACAATACAAATTTACATGTAAAATACCATTTCATCACCATACAAATGAAATATCTTCTCTTTACCATACATGTAAAATACCATTTCATCACCATACAAATGAAATATCTTCTTTTTACCATACATGTAAAATACCTTTTCATCACCATACAAATGAACTATCCTCTCTTCACAATACAAATTTACATGTAAAATACATTTTCATCACCATACAAATGAACTATCTTCTCTTCACAATACAAATTTACATGTAAAATACCTTTTCATAACCATACAAATGAAATATCTTCTTTTTACCGTACATGTAAAATACCTTTTCATCCCCATACAAATGAACTATCTTCTCTTCACAATACAAATTTACATGTAAAATACCTTTCCATCACCATACAAATGAAATATCTTCTCTTGACCATACATGTAAAATACCTTTCATCACCATACAAATGAACTATTTTCTCTTCACCTTACATGTAAAATACATTCTGATCAGCATACAGGTAAAATTCTTTCTCATCAGCCACAGGTGCAAATATCTTCTCATTGATATTGAAATTAAAAGCCAGAAAAAAATTCAGAAACAAGAAATTACCTACCTGCATTAGAGAATTTAATTAAAACATATTCTTCAGAAAATTTGAAGAAAAGTTTTGTTATCAGGCAACAATTGACTAGCAGGTAATGTGTATATCTCGTTAGTAGACAATTAGTGGTGTATTCTCTTGTTATTTATAACCAGATTATACGTACTTAGCCTACTATTGATTGGTCAGCTTGATTTTTCTATACACTATGTACTATTACCTGTAGTCTATATTAGACATGTTAATTTATCTGTCAGGTGTAAGCCTTGATTACAGTTTTTACCTGTTGTATACCTGAATGTCACTAATTGAGAGTTGACACATGGTATGGCGATTTGTTGGCTGTTTATACAGTAGTACTGTGTCATATTCTCTGTCTTTGGTTTATACTGAATGTATAAGGACTCTTCATTTACAAGAAAACAAAAGTAAAAAGCATGATGTCACATTCAAATTCTGATAGTTCATCTTCTTCCCAGTACTACCAGGTAAGATTATTGGGGTCATGGATTGTGATATTACAGTATTGTAAATATGCGTACTCCGTCAAAAGTAAGTCCAACAACTACCACATAGATTTGAATTTACATCTGAAGAAGAAAAACATTCTGAAATCTTCTATTTACTGTTAAAATTTTCAATGCTAGTGTCTAGGAAGGAACGCAAGTTATTCAAGTCAATTATTTGAGGATGAATAGAAATTTGTGTTCATTTTGTTTAATACAATAACCTGTCAGATAAGATAGGGTGTCAAAATACACAGGTCTTACTTGATAGTTTCATTGTAAATGGGATTACGACATTTGTTGGATTTAAGGCAGGATTTAAGAAAACTCAGGGGTTAGATAGATACGTTTCATGATGCTACCATTTTGTTTTGTTGTATTTTTAGAATCTGTTATCCAATCCTAACCTAATGAAACCGGTGAACTCTGAGGCTGCCGAGATGATCATACACTCACCCCACGCCTACAAACAGATGGTACTGGACTGTGTCTCCTCCAGTCAGAGAGTAGATGGTAGCTATATATATATACATGTATATAGGTTGTAGGTGTAAAACAGCTTAATCACTTACCAATAACTGTTTAATACTAAGCATTCCAGTTTTTATAGATAAATACTAACCTGAAGGCTACAGTTTCAAATATCAATTAAATTAAGTTGACGGAAAATCAGAAATTCCTAGCTCAAGGATTCAACACCTAGAACCCTTTTTGACAAGCAAAACCAGTGACACAGGACAATTCCTACCTATTCACTCCAATGTCAATCCAGCCAAAAATTTCAAAATGTGATTTTATGTTTCTCAAAATGTTGATAGTTTAATTTCATTGCTAATATTTCTTCAATTCCTTAGAGACATATATAACCAGATCTAGTTTAAACAATTTCAACAATCATAAAATTAAAGGAAATGTTACTGTTTTGTCTAGCTGGTGTGACGTCCCATCATGATATGGAATCAAGAGTGAGGTTCACTACCCCCGAGAAGTTACCCTCCAGACAGCCTACACAGCGGACGGCAGGTGCCCGAATATCACGACTCTCATTCGACGATTACCACAACACTTGGTGTGGTATAGCTACCTCAAAATCAACCCCAGATATGAAAAATCCATGTAAGTTCTTCTAAAGGGCAGACACTAAATATTTCACAGTTTTCTTGCTCGTAGTACAGGAATATGTGTGATATATATACATTGCTAGTACTCACTACCAGTGCTAGAGAACTCTGTCTCTTGGATCAGACGTAGTTTGAATGACAGAAATGAAAAGTGAATGCTGCATATCGATGATGCATGATGTAGACAGAAATCTTTACCTACATCAGGGCTCATATTTATAAAATTGTTTCTCATGCTCAAACTTTGGTTCTAAGCTCAAGTCCATTTTCTTGTTCCTGTTCTCTATTCATAAAAAAATCACATTTTGTGAATGATTTTGGAAGAATGTCTATAGAGGCAAAAAACTGAATATTGTTTACAAGAAAATTGGTTTGAGCACCAAATCTATGCTTGAGCATAAGTACCATTTTATAAATATGGGGCCTTGATAAGATTTTTGAGAGTTCAGAATTTGGGAAAGCCTTGGTTTGGACAGTGCACTTCAATACTGCTGATTTATAAAAATTGCCGAAAAGAATGAATCCTCCCACCCCTCTGTTATGTAGAAAGATAATTTCCAACAGTGGTAAGGAGGAGATATGTGTCCAACAGTGGTAAGGATGAGATATGTGTCCAACAGTGGTAAGGTGGAGATATGTGTCCAACAGTGGGAAGGAGGAGATATGTGCAACAGTGGTAAGGAGAAGATATGTGTCCAACAGTGGTAAGGAGGAGATATGTCCAACAGTGGTTAGGAGGAGATATGTCCAACAGTGGTAAGGAGAAGATATGTGTCCAACAGTGGTAAGGAGGAGATATGTGTCCAACAGTGGTAAGGAGGAGATATGTGTCCAACAGTGGTAAGGAGGAGATATGTGTCCAACAGTGGTAAGGAGGAGATATGTGTCCAACAGTGGTAAGGAGGAGATATGTGTCCAACAGTGGTAAGGAGGAGATATGTGTCCAACAGTGGTAAGGAGGAGATATGTGTCCAACAGTGGTAAGGAGGAGATATGTGTCCAACAGTGGTAAGGAGGAGATATGTGTCCAACAGTGGTAAGGAGGAGATATGTGTCCAACAGTGGTAAGGAGGAGATATGTGTCCAACAGTGGTAAGGAGGAGATATGTGTCCAACAGTGGTAAGGAGGAGATATGTGTCCAACAGTGGTAAGGAGGAGATATGTGTCCAACAGTGGTAAGGAGGAGATATGTGTCCAACAGTGGTAAGGAGGAGATATGTGTCCAACAGTGGTAAGGAGGAGATATGTGTCCAACAGTGGTAAGGAGGAGATATGTGTCCAACAGTGGTAAGGAGGAGATATGTGTCCAACAGTGGTAAGGAGGAGATATGTGTCCAACAGTGGTAAGGAGGAGATATGTGTCCAACAGTGGTAAGGAGGAGATATGTGTCCAACAGTGGTAAGGAGGAGATATGTGTCCAACAGTGGTAAGGAGGAGATATGTGTCCAACAGTGGTAAGGAGGAGATATGTGTCCAACAGTGGTAAGGAGGAGATATGTGTCCAACAGTGGTAAGGAGGAGATATGTGTCCAACAGTGGTAAGGAGGAGATATGTGTCCAACAGTGGTAAGGAGGAGATATGTGTCCAACAGTGGTAAGGAGGAGATATGTGTCCAACAGTGGTAAGGAGGAGATATGTGTCCAACAGTGGTAAGGAGGAGATATGTGTCCAACAGTGGTAAGGAGGAGATATGTGTCCAACAGTGGTAAGGAGGAGATATGTGTCCAACAGTGGTAAGGAGGAGATATGTGTCCAACAGTGGTAAGGAGGAGATATGTGTCCAACAGTGGTAAGGAGGAGATATGTGTCCAACAGTGGTAAGGAGGAGATATGTGTCCAACAGTGGTAAGGAGGAGATATGTGTCCAACAGTGGTAAGGAGGAGATATGTGTCCAACAGTGGTAAGGAGGAGATATGTGTCCAACAGTGGTAAGGAGGAGATATGTGTCCAACAGTGGTAAGGAGGAGATATGTGTCCAACAGTGGTAAGGAGGAGATATGTGTCCAACAGTGGTAAGGAGGAGATATGTGTCCAACAGTGGTAAGGAGGAGATATGTGTCCAACAGTGGTAAGGAGGAGATATGTGTCCAACAGTGGTAAGGAGGAGATATGTGTCCAACAGTGGTAAGGAGGAGATATGTGTCCAACAGTGGTAAGGAGGAGATACGTGTCCAACAGTGGTAAGGAGGAGATATGTCCAACAGTGGTAAGGAGGAGATATGTGTCCAACAGTGGTAAGGAGGAGATATGTGTCCAACAGTGGTAAGGAGGAGATATGTGTCCCAACAGTGGTAAGGAGGAGATATGTGTCCAACAGTGGTAAGGAGGAGATACGTGTCCAACAGTGGTAAGGAGGAGATATGTCCAACAGTGGTAAGGAGGAGATATGTGTCCAACAGTGGTAAGGAGGAGATATGTGTCCAACAGTGGTAAGGAGGAGATATATTTGTGTCCAGAATAGAGCAAAGTAGGATTCTGGAAAAATACATTAAATTGTATGGTCTGGTTACAGTCTGGTTCTATAAAAGAAAGATTTTAATTTGGATCTAATTACTTCACAAGGCTTTAATGACAGAATGATGTAAAATTGCTGTTAATGACAATATTTTACCACAAGATAAGTGGTGCACGGTCCACTCCAAAACAGGTACAGTGGGTGGACATGTCATAATTCCTGAAAATTATCACAATTACAGAAAATCATCACAATTTACCAAAATTGCTTTGAATTAGGTAGACAGAGTTATCACAATTGATAGTCAAATGATAAATATATTACATACACCAACTATAAACAGCAAAAGTGTTCACAAAAATAAAACAGATATTTATTTTAACAGCATCAGCATTCATGTTTGGTTACAGAATTAATATCCAAATGGACCACATTCTAGACAAAAAGTTGTGTAAAACATGCTACAGTACTGTTAGATTTTATAGGATTCAAGTCATGACATGTCACTGCAGATAACACTAATGAATGATGTAAAGAGATTTTTTTTTTATTATAAATTGTCACTGTTTAAATATAATGATTTTATGAAGATTTACAAGTGATAGAGCATCAGACCAAGGATTCCCTAATCGTACATGATCAGTTCCTGAGGACGGTTGGCCTATAGCCTTCTGAAACATGTAAACAAAAAACGTTTACAATTACGAAATCCTTGGTGTTGACGCTCCATCACTTATACCTACTGGTATTTACCGTCCTTTGGTGGAGCTTTGGTATCTACCTCCACTGGTACATCAACCAACCATAATCTACAGAACATTGGACATTTATTGTATTGGTTCTCCAATATCTTTATTATTTCCTATACTTATTATGATAAAGAAATCATCTCCAGAAAACTTGGTACGACAAGGAAAACAAACCTCCTACTGATGCTTCACCTTATGTAGCTAACTATTGAGAACATTTATTTCACCAGTGTTGGAATCTATTAAGGATCAGCCCTTACTCCAGAAAGCTCACTTAGGTCTTCCCCAGGAGGAAATCGAGGAGCAAATGAAACGACAAATCGAGGAGTGAGTGTTTATTAGGCTGTCTTATGGTAGTCTCCAGCATCATTGCTAAATTGTTACTGTGACATTAATATACCATTATTAGGATATTCTTATGGTATCACAGTGACATAATAATAACCACATTGATTCTGAAGATATGTATCTAAATACATGTACATGTATTGACAAAAAGCATGTAATGTTTGAAGTACATAATTATGTGTTTGAAGTTTAGAAGACCTCATGGAAATTTGATCACCATTACAATTTTGTTAGCCTCATGAAACTTCCAAGTCTAATTTCCATTTTCCAATTGAGGGAATTCAAGGAACTCTGTCTTTCCCTAGTGATGGCAATTCCAGAGATTTGAATGTTTAAAGTTCTGGTGAACATCTTAAGCGTAGTGTCTCAACCTAAATAAATTTTTCAGTGTACTTTCATTTTGTACAATCATACAAATTTTAACTAGAGGCATTTAGTTTTTTTTACCAGTATCACCAGACTTGTGATTTATCACTTGAGTTTTCATTAAAGATCCTTTCTTCCTTAATAGACCTTTTCCAGTGATTGTATATATAAATGTATCTATACTTAGTAAATATGTTATGTATTTTATTTAAATTTTATTCAGACATGATGACTTGATGTACGGAAAGTTCACGGATAAACCAGTGGCTGAAGATGAGAAAGCAGCAAAGATGGCCAAACTTAACAGAATGAGAAAAATTTATCTTCCACCTAGAATATCTCCAAGTAAGTATACTATCAGGTTCATGCTTGTCAAAAACAGATCTAGAGGGGTTTTCTGAGACGTTCTTTAAAAATGCTATATTTTGCACATTTGGATCCCCCCCCCCTCTCAATTGAAATTATAATGTGCAGTTGCACCTGGTGATTGTGGAAGTCAAGGTATATTAAAAAATCATTGACAACCACAGAAAATGTCACCTGAAAAGGGGAAATCCCAGTCCGTGGGGTTGGGGTGACCATACTGTGAGACACTGCACACCAAAGCAATGTGCTCATCACATGATTAAAGTTCATTTTATTTGGCAACTGCAAGTTTTGATTTACTTTTTATTTTCCTGATATTGATATTGTAAAAATATATTAAGAAATAGATAGCTTATACTGGTAAGTGACAAAAAATGAAAGTCTACAAGGTCAGAGGCTAGTTTTCACTAAATGAAAAACAGATAATCTTGAGAGTGCTTGACTGTTGGTTATTTTTAGCTCTCTGTTTTCTTTGTTTTAAGAATGCATAACCTTTCATCATTTTTTTGGCAGTATATGACATTTCACACTGTGGTTAAGAGAGTACATGAACTTTGACCTTTGTTGCAGCCCCCTCAGCTGTACCACCTCCCAGTACAGGGAAGAGGGATGAACCGTTAGACGAGGAGGTTGAGGACTTGCTGGCCTGGTCATCTAAACTGGACGCTGACACAGTGGATACTTGACGATAACAATCTGTAGAACTTTGATACTGTATTTGTATATCATATGTATGTTTCTGTATTTCACATGTAAGTTTTGAACAGATTTACCAGCATACAGTTCTAATTTAAACACAACATAAACAGTTTTATATTGGTCATAAATCCCTGACTAGATGTCTGTCATTTTTCACAGCAATCAAAGGGAGAGAACCTATAATGTCCTGGAGGATCATGATGGTTCTGTTAACTTAATTCTAAGAAAAGTCTTTTTCTAAATTAAATACTCTATAGCAAAAACATTCTGTGTAGTGATATTTGTATTCACTGTATAGTGATATCTATATTCACTGTATAATGATATTTGTATTCACTCTGTTGTTATATTTGTATTCACTGTGTAGTGATATTTATATTCACTGTATAATGATATTTATATTCACTCTGTTGTTATATTTGTATTCACTCTGTGTAGTGATACTTCCATTCACTGTGTAGTGATACTTGTATTCACTGTGTAGTGATACTTGTATTCATTGTGTAATAACACTAACATTCACTATGTAGTAATAAATACATTCACTATGTTGTGGTACTTATATTCACTGTGTAGTGTTACTTACATTCACTGTGTTGTGGTACTTACATTCACTGTGTAGTGATATTTGTATTCACTGTGTAGTGTTACTTACATTCACTGTGTAGTGTTACTTACATTCACTGTGTAGTGATATTTATATTCACTGTGTAGTGGTACTTATATTCACTGTGTAGTGGTACTTATATTCACTGTGTAGTGTTACTTACATTCACTGTGTAGTGGTACTTATATTCACTATGTAGTTATATTTGTATTCACTGTGTAGTTTTACTTACATTCACTGTGTAGTGTTACTTACATTCACTGTGTAGTGTTACTTACATTCACTGTGTAGTGATATTTGTATTTACTGTTTAGTGATATTTGTATTCACTGTGTAGTGATATTTGTATTCACTGTGTAGAGATATTTGTATTCACTGTGTAGTGATATTTGTATTCACTATGTAGAATACTTACATTTACTGTGTAGTGGTACTTACATTCACTGTGTAGCGGTACTTGTTTACAAACATAAATACTGGGAATATTTATATATCATATACATATTTGAGTTGAACTCTCTTGATTTATGACCAAGAAAAATTTAAGTTATGGAAAGTGTGTATGACTTTACTGAGGGTATACCGATGATGTTGTAATCAAGTCTAACAGGCCCTCAATAGTTTGGACACTTCAGTTTATAAAAAATCAGTGATAAATCAATAAAGAAAGTACACATGAATTATCCTTTTCAAGGTATTTTACTCAGAAAACCTAGTTTTCCATTTTTTTAATTTTTTTTCTGGATTTACCCAGAACGTTTAATAAAGAGTATATTTAGTATAATTTTGACAATTATCAATACATGTGATACTGAAGATTTGGTGTGAATATCATCTTTTTATTTCAAAATCTTTTTATTTTATGTTATAATACTTGTTTTTCATACAAACTTAGCTAAATAAGATTTGTTCAGAGTTATGATACATGATATGGAGTGATGATATTCATGAAGCTAAGATGGTGTACCGGTTTTTCTTTTATAATGGTTTCAAAATAGGTTTGAATTAAATACATTTTAAGTCAAAATGTTGTTCTTGTTTGGATATTTGTGTAAGAATTTTTGGAAGAAAGATTGATTTAAATGGATTTTTATGAATGAAAGTGAAAGGTAAATGTTATGGTAATAAAAAGATGTGTGAAAAGGAGAATGTTTTACTGGCTGTGAGTATGATTGAGATATGGATTCCTATATATATTTATATTTTTTCTGGATATGAATATGACTAAATTGTTTTGTTCTGTCATGAAAAACACAATAAAATGTTCCACCAACATTGCTTTTCTAGTTTCCCTTGTGTTTCTACTTTAAGGATCCCTGTGCTTCTACACCTGCACAAAACTAATTATGTTTTGGATTTTTTTTCTGGCACCATTTTAGGTTTTTACAAAATTGTATCAGAAAAGAAATCCATACCAAGCATAACATTATTTTTTTGGAGTTGATGAAATTATATGATTAGTTTTGTTAATTTTTGTTATTTTTTAATCGAGAAAAATGAAACGGAATGATTCTGATTCGATGCAGCTGTCAACATAATTGCATAGAACAAGGAGGAAACTAGTAATATGTTACGTAGCAGAAGAGTTAAAATAGAAACTGAGGCCAGGACTGGGATCCTAACCCTGGACTCTTGAGAATCTTAAATGGATGCTCTAGCTTTTAAAGCTATCAGGTCTCTTGTAGTCTGCTTGCCTAATGCCCTTACAATTAGTTATGTAAAAAATGAAATCAAGGAAGGCTACTATATCTCCGAAGCATTACAGTGGATTTTGCCTGGAGTGTGACAGGCCTCATTAAGTTACAGATGGTTGCAGCAGAGTGATGCATGTTTTATAGAGAAAAACATGATAATATTATAAAATTGACCTGATGAATGCTACCGTTGCGTCACGGTACCAATCACGGAAAAATGCAACAACCAGACTGGGATTGAACTGTAGGGATAGTTGCTCTAACCAACAGAGCTGGCCTGGTTCAGCAGCAATCAACCTAGTCCAGATATGTTACATTCCTCCCCACCTCCCCATTTTAAAAGAAAAAAAATGTTTGACCCCAAAGACACACAAGACCATCTATCAACTTCAATGAGTATATACAGTGGGGTGTCAAATGTAACAGAAAATGAGAAATGCAACATCTTGATCAGAATTCAAACCTCAGATCAGTCTGAGAACTCTACACGAACACTCTAAGCAACTAAGCTATTTGGTACCATATGATTAATAATAAATAATATACAACATTTATATAGAGCCCTTATAATATAATTTGTAAAATTACTCTTAAGCGCTTTACAACATATGGATTAAATAGTATTTTTAAGTTATAACAGTTCAGTTTATTTTTCTGTTTTTCACTAGCCTGGATCAACTGGTAATTGGGTTTAAAGACCTAAAAATACATAACAAATACAAAATTATCATTCGTGCTTTGTTGCATTCACACCTTATATATAAATATAAGCAAGGAATAGAAATGATACAAAAAAGTGAATAAGTGTGTGAATGGTAATTGTGTATTCGTTAGTGTTTGAAGGTCTGTTGAACCATTGACGTGTCTTATCATTGGCAATGGTTACACGCCCTTTTCCATTTTTTTTTATATTGTTCAGCACATGCACCCTTAAAATTCAAAACGAAAGTAGAACATCACCGGAAGTGGGTAAATAAACAGCATACTACACGCTGGTTATGTACTACATAAATAAACTTTCCTTACCAAATAAAAAAACTGCTGATACTTTTAAAACTGAACGTTTGTAATATATTGATAAAGATATTTTAATAAAATACTTAGGAACCAATCAAACACCTGTAACGTATCCGAATGTCTAAAAATAGACACATGACCTACTTTTGTTGTAAATAATGGTGGGAACTCCTCGTACACAACGGTTCACGGCCAGTTACCAGTGCAAGGGCAGACAGCGATACAGTTGGAGGTTATTGTGGTAAGTGGAACGAGACTTTTTTTTTTTTTGTAAGCTGACATTTTATATGGAACATTTTTTTTATTGAGAAACAGTAGAAAACTGTACAGGTTTAATTTGAGTAGCAGGAGCTTCCGATGAATGCAACCATTTTGTGCGTGTTTACAATGTGGAAGTCATTCACCAGCTGTTCACTGTCCAAAAACTTGGCGGCAGAAGACAGTTGGAGCCTACTGTCCAATAAACTTGTTATACACACGCGTATACGATGGTTTGCGTATAATGTAGCGTATACAGTATACATTTATGGATATTTTGGACATTTGTTTATGAATTTATAAATGATCAACTATATTTACGAGACCTGCACCACAGACAATGTAGCTTAGTGTGGATGCTTGAAAAAAAGGCAAACGTCTTTTCTCTTAATATTATTTTTCACCATAGATAACATACCATGTGTGATGTGGTAATGACACTCACTACCTACATGTACTTAACTCACTTTTACACATGCAAAAAATAACAGGATGTTTGAGTCATTTTCAATAACTTTTTTTCTTAAAATCCAAAAATATTCCTAAAATTAAAACATTGTCATGACCACAAGAGCCTGTGACCAGCACTTATTTTACAGTTGTGTCAGTAAATTCATAGCAATAATCGTAAAACAAGCGAACCTTTAATTTATCAGTTAAGTGTTTGCTGACATTTTGAAATGTAAACTATGATGGGGTGAGAGTTATTATACCATGGCAATATCATTGTGATCATTAAAACCTGTATCAGGATCTTCTGATCGTAAAACTGTCAGTCCTTTTTCTGATGATGGACAGGTCAGAGGTGTTTATTTGAGTGGTTTAACCTCCGCTTCGCTACTGAGTAGTTCGGTATCCAACAGACGATGGTCTGAGGTGGCCGGCAGTAGCCCATTTTGTTAACAGATAGTGACAGGTATCGGCCGGTCAGATGTATGTACTGTTTGTGCGGTAATGTCTCTTGATGAAGATTATAAATATTGTTACAGTTTATAGCACTGTGGTGGTTCCTAACTTAATTGACCTATTAAATACTAACCAGTTGCATTGGTTTCTGAGAACTTCATTATATAATAATAAGTAATAGGGCCATATGATGCAGTGTTTTGTTAAATGATGGAATGCAAGTGTTTTTTTCTTATACGCTCACTGAGGTCAGCTTTGTTGATCTGAAAATATTTTCAGATTAACTATTATTAAATTTTCTTTATCTGTGTGAAAACCTCGGTTAATTCTCTATGAGTAGGTCGGGGTACAGAGAAACAGTCGTCAACAACCTATTTTGTTAATTCAACTTAAATTTTTAAAAAAAAATAAAAAAATGAAATGTACATGTTAAGACAGCTATGATGTACGTAAAATGTATTGAAGTTAGGTGAGGGCTTAATTAAGTTATAAGAACTTGTGCCCAATCCTTTTTGTCATTTTCAAGGCAATAAAAATATGTTTAAACCAACTATTATCAAAGGTCTTAAACTTATGCCGATTCCTTTGAATGAGATTCACTAGGGCAGGCTTTAACCCAGCAGAGATCCAATTCGGATGATGCAACCTTCGAATCTTCCACGTTAAACAAAGATGATCTAAGTATGATTGGCTATTAAAATAAGATTTTCAGTCTATACCGACAATCGCTCTATAGGCTAACCATTTTCCCTGTAAACTTGTGTAATCATCTCATAACCTTAATGTAGATCATGAAAAGTTTTCGTGATGTCGACAAAAACACATGATTACAGGGGTTATGCAAATTTCCCATGGGTGTTACAGATTTGGTGATGTCATCAACAGTAGCTGCTGCCAGATTTAACCATGGATTATGCAAATTTCAGGCTGTTACTGATATTGAAACGATCACACATTTATTTATATTTTAAAACTGAAATTTGTATCCTCTGAGAAGTCCAGTGTATGAAAAGGTCCTGAATCATTCACAGAAAAATACTGCAAATGTTTCTCCAATTGAGCATGTGTAAATATTGAATAGACAGTGAAGCCATCTATGATAAATTTAGATATGCTCAACCGGAATGATCACCCCATAACCGGATCATCCTCAAATATTTACACAAAGAAACAAAACCCAGATGTAGGCATTATCAGATGGCAAGATAAATAATATTCAGTTTAGCAAATCAAAGTTTATAATAAAAAAACTACTGATATGTATTTACTAATATTTATACTGCTTCACAACACCTCCATTATATAAGTGTCACGGCTAGTCAACCATGGATACTAGAGTGCAATAAATTACTTTTTAACCTAAGGCTGTTTGTAGATGCAGGTTTGACTCGAGATATGAGGGTTAAAATGTGTCAGACCTTTAAAATGGGTCTTAAAATAACAATTTATCATTTATCTCGCCCAGCCCTAAGTGAAATCATAACTGTTACGCATCTCTGAATATATACATGTCTAATTCGTATATGAAATAAAAATAAAAGAATCTGTTTTTCTGCAAGGTATGGTTTTCTTTTCAGAAATGTTTATCAATGCCAAAATCAGTTTCCAATGCACAGTTACAGTTTTTGGAAGTGGTAAAGGAATCCTTAAGGAATCATTTTGATTTAAGGAAGTTTTCTTTAATTTTTGGGCCGCTGTTTTTGGTGTTCTTTTAAAAAGAGTAGAAAAAGAAAGAAAGGTTTTGCCAATTAATCTGACATAACTCAATTTACTACTGTTGTTTTCCAGTGTGAATAAAAAATGAATACATTTTTGAACAATAACAACAGCAGTGTTTGGCCAAATGGGATGGATGTATCACACCAAAGTACTAAACGACAGAGGATGAATGAATCATTAGAGGATCCAAATCAACAGCCATTTGCTGCTCCGCCCTGTTCATGTGGTGGGTAGTGAAAATGTGAAGTGTATTAATTGTATTTAGTTATTCCTGTGACTGGTGTCTAGATTTTGTTTTTGATATTACCGGTAATGAATTTTCCTTGAAGGAACCGACCTAGTATATTCTTGTTTGCATAATACAGGGCCATTATTCCTGTCTCAAAAATATTACTTCATTTTTAATTTTTCAACTACAGTAAAACCTCCATATCATACCACTCATTTCATGTTTTCCTTTGCTTTCTGTCATATTTAAAGATTCCTATTTGATATTTTTCTCACCATTTCCACTATTCATCACTCCTTCAATGTTACCCCTTTATAACGCCTCCCTGTTGGTGGACAGATTTCGATGATATTATGAGTTGTTGTAATTTTGCCTCTATAGATACAAATATATTTCAACCAGAATATATTTTATTTGAAAAATTAACACTTTTATACACATGTCTATTAACTAATACATCTGAGTATACATTAGCTACCAGCAATAAGGTCATGTCTGGTAATAAGCCCACCTATTTTGTTTACTTTAAGTCATAGATTATGTGTTTGCCCTCTGACCTTATTGCAAGATAAACATGGTTTAAACAATCTCTAGGTTAAAGTCAGTTATGGACATCAAATTGTTTATGAGCAAATTTTTTGCATATGCTAATTTTGATTTTTGAAATCACAGATAACTTTGTAAATGAAGGGAGATTATATATTTACAGACTTGACCAGGTGATAATGATTTACAATGTAATTTCCATTTGCAGGTAAGAAGTTTTTACCGGTGAGGAAGAATGATACTACCTTTATCACAGAAGACTGGCGGTCTACAGGGACGTCACTGTTTAAACCTTTAGTTCAGGATATTTTTGTGAATCTAGTGAAGTACGAACAGTTCAGTATGTCAGAGGGCACTTTTTTTGTTGCAGATAGTTTTGGGAACTACTCAAATTCTGTCACAGGTAAGGCATGAGTGAGAAAGTGTTACCAAAGTTTTTATTAAGGATCCTTGTTCCTCATCAAAATTTGAAACTTTCTATCTGCATGACAATGGCTTAAATAAATCACTTTTGAAAAGAAACCCATTACTTGCAGAACCTTAACGAAATAACTAATAAAGAGGAAATAAGCAAAAAAAAATCAGCAAGTGTTCTGACAGTGAAAATGCAACCAGGTCTAGCAAGGATTCAAACCCTATGCCGCTGATCATAATTTGGTTGCTCTAATAATAATAATAATTTGCCTGTGGTATACAGTTCTTGTAAATATTTTGCTTTTCTATAAAGTGTATAAACCTGAGAAGTGTTTGAAATTAAAAAAAAAGTGTTTCTCTTCTTTGAGGCTGTCAAAGAGACACTGATATTCATAAAGAGAAATTTAAGGGTCCAATCCCAGAAAGTTTAGAAGATTGCCTAGGTATACAGGTCTGGTTCAACACAAGCTGTTTATTAATTATTATTAAATATTGTTTGCAGGCCAGGTGCTACACATGTGGAGGTATGACAAATCAAAGAAGCAGCTATTTATAGCCCAGTCGATTCTTTTCACCTGTCCACAGGTATGTTCACTACAGGTGTACAGTAATACCTGCCCAACGGATCACCTCTTTTACCAGAAAACTTGTATTAAAGAGAATAATTTTAAAAGTTCCCATTGCACTTGTTTTCATGATAACTGAACTTCTATTACAAGACCACCTTCAATAATAGGACACTATATTGGCTTCTGAGTCCTGTCCATGAATACAGGTTTTACTATACCAAGGGAAGTAGACAGTCTACCAGGAATACAGGTTTTACTATACCAAGGGAAGTAGACAGTCTACCATGAATACAGGTTTTACTATACCAAGGGAAGTAGACAGTCTACCATGAATACAGGTTTTACTATACCAAGGGAAGTAGACAGTCTACCAGGAATACAGGTTTTACTATACCAAGGGAAGTAGACAGTCTACCATGAATACAGGTTTTACTATACCAAGGGAAGTAGACAGTCTACCATGAATACAGGTTTTACTATACCAAGGGAAGTAGACAGTCTACCAGGAATACAGGTTTTACTATACCAAGGGAAGTAGACAGTCTACCATGACTACAGGTTTTACTTTACCAAGGGAAGTAGACAGTCTACCAGGAATACAGGTTTTACTATACCAAGGGAAATAAACAGTCTACCATGACTACAGGTTTTACTTTACCAAGGGAAGTAGACAGTCTACCATGACTACAGGTTTTACTATACCAAGGGAAATAGACAGTCTACCAGGTATACAGGTTTTACTATACCAAGGGAAGTAGACAGTCTGCCATGAATACAGGTTTTACTATACCAAGGGAAATAAACAGGCTACCATGACTACAGGTTTTACTTTACCAAGGGAAGTAGACAGTCTACCAGGAATACAGGTTTTACTATACCAAGGGAAATTGATAGTCTACCAGGAATACAGGTTTTACTATACCAAGGGAAGTAGACAGTCTACCATGAATACAGGTTTTACTATACCAAGGGAAATAAAAAAAATCTACCAGGAAAATAGGTTTTACTTTACCAAGGGAAGTAGACAGTCTACCAGGAATATTAATATGATATTTGACACAACAAAATTTGAGTTGTGAAATTTTACGATTTACATTTTGGCAATCAATATCAGACTATAATAATTATTTACCTGAGGGCTTTTGTTTAGCCTGCTAAGTTTCTACTATCTGTTATTATTATTATCAGCAATTGTGGTAGATATCTGCACTACAGTCAACTTGATATGATATTGCAAGGCAGTGTGTTGCAGGAAACTGAAGTAAGATGAAGATAACTTTTTTTGTTACACTTTGTGAAATGCTAGCAATGTAAATGTTAGAGAACTACATGTAGGGCGGCCAAATCACCCGATTAATTCCCACTAAGATAACCCAGTATACAGTAAGTCAGTTCCTTGGGTGTCGTGAAACATTGTTCTTAATCATTTGACTATACATTCTGTGATTGAAGTTTCTGCAGCTAGAATTGTGTTTATACAAAATGTATATATTTTGATTACAGGACTTGGTTGTGATACAGGCGGTGCTACACTCCATTTAGATCATTGGTTGAGATACAGGCGGTGCTACACTCCATTTAGGTCATTGGTTGTGATACAGGCGGTGCTACACTCCATTTAGGTCATTCCTTTACGTCATTAGATGCTGGTGTGTAGATATAAGGTGCTGACTACAAATAGATATTCTCACCTACCTTGTAACCTGCATGGTAACCATCTACAGGTGTTTGATGGTGATGAAGATGGTGCTATACTCAATGTTTGGGTACCTGTGTATATCGTACCTACCATAATACTATCTACAGGTGTTTAATGGTGACACAAATGATGCGACACACCCAACGGGACCTCGTACAGTACGTTAGGCCTTCTACTGGTGTTTTAATCAGAAAAAAATGTCTTCGATATTTTAAAAAGTTATATTTGCATGACCTTGTAATGAACATTTATTTAACAGCCTTTAAATGAATTTATGATGTCACATGATATTTGCATGTGTACAGGCTCACTACAGGGGCCCGAGTACAGGGGCCCGACTACAGGGGCCCCGAGTACAGGGGCCCCGAGTACAGGGGCCCCGAGTACAGGGGCCCGACTACAGGCTCACTACAGGGGCCCGAGTACAGGGGCCCGACTACAGGGGCCCGACTACAGGCTCACTACAGGGGCCCGAGTACAGGGGCCCGAGTACAGGGGCCCGACTACAGGGGCCCGACTACAGGGGCCCGAGTACAGGGGCCAGAGTACAGGGGGGCCCGAGTACAGGGGCCCGAGTACAGGGGGCCTGAGAACAGGGGGCCCGAGTACAGGGGCCCGAGTACAGGGGGCCCGAGTACAGGGGCCCGAGTACAGAGGCCCGAGTACAGGGGGCCCCGAGTACAGGGGCCCGAGTACAGGGGCCCGAGTACAGGGGCCCGACTACAGGGGCCCGAGTACAGGGGCCAGAGTACAGGGGGGCCCGAGTACAGGGGCCCGAGTACAGGGGGCCTGAGAACAGGGGGCCCGAGTACAGGGGCCCGAGTACAGGGGGCCCGAGTACAGGGGCCCGAGTACAGAGGCCCGAGTACAGGGGGCCCGAGTACAGGGGGCCCGACTACAGGGGCCCGACTACAGGTCCATTAGCTGGTTTTCCAGGCCATATTGGATTTTATGCAGGGGCTAATGAAAATTTCAAAATTTGGTACCAAAATATAGATAGGGATAGTAACCCTTTTCATTATGCTTGCAGGCTGGTACGCTTAATATGAAACTGTACACCCCTGTTTTTTATTACAGCAAAAAATCTCAAATGTTTGTGAAAAATAAGATGATTATAGCAAATTTAATGTGTATAGTTTCGGTTTTAGTTTTAAAAGCTGCACCTTAAGTGAGTTAAGGAAGTATTTATCGGGTGAGGTGTGTATATTTGTTTTGTTGTTTTCATTGGCTGATGAATGAAAGAGGTTGTTGTCAAAATCACATGAACTGCAATGCAGATGACATGTCAAACTTGTATCACTACCTTGTATGTGATTTAAAGATCATCCCTCCCATTCAGGACACTGAGAGAGATGATTGTAGACTTGTATCAGTACCTTGTATGTATGATTGTAGACTTGTATCACTACCTTGTATGATGAGAGAGATGATTGTAGACTTTTATCAGTACCTTGTATGTATGATTGTAGACTTGGATCACTACCTTGTATGATGAGAGAGATGATTGTAGCCTTGTATCAGTACCTTGTATGATGATAGAGATGATTGTAGACTTGTATCAGTACCTTGTATAATGAGAGAGATGATTGTAGACTTGTATCACTACCTTGTTTAATGAGAGAGTTGATGGTAGACTTGTATCACTACCTTGTTTAATGAGAGAGTTGATGGTAGACTTGTATCACTACCTTGTTTAATGAGAGAGTTGATGGTAGACTTGTATCACTACCTTGTTTAATGAGAGAGATGATTGTAGACTTGTATCACTACCTTGTTTAATGAGAGAGATGATTGTAGACTTGTATCAGTGCCTTGTATAATGAGAGAGATGATTGTAGACTTGTATCAGTCCCTTGTATGAAGAGAGAGATGATTGTAGACTTGTATCAGTACCATGTATGATGATAGAGATGATTGTAGACTTGTATCAGTACCTTGTATGATGAGGGAGATGATTGTAGACTTGTATCAGTACCTTGTATAATGAGAGAGATGATTGTAGACTTGTATGACTACCTTGTTTAATGAGAGAGATGATTGTAGACTTGTATCAGTGCCTTGTATAATGAGAGAGATGATTGTAGACTTGTATCACTACCTTGTTTAATGAGAGAGTTGATGGTAGACTTGTATCACTACCTTGTTTAATGAGAGAGATGATTGTAGACTTGTATCAGTGCCTTGTATAATGAGAGAGATGATTGTAGACTTGTATCACTACCTTGTATGATGAGAGAGATGATTGTAGCCTTGTATCAGTACCTTGTATGATGATAGAGATGATTGTAGACTTGTATCAGTACCTTGTTTAATGAGAGAGATGATTGTAGACTTGTATCACTACCTTGTATGATGAGAGAGATGATTGTAGACTCCTAATGGATTGTGCCTTAATGCATTATTGCTGCATATTACATGTCAAACTTGTATCACTACCTTGTATGTGATTTAAAGATCATCCCTCCCATTCAGGACACTGAGAGAGATGATTGTAGACTTGTATCAGTACCATGTATGTATGATTGTAGACTTGTATCACTACCTTGTTTAATGAGAGAGTTGATGGTAGACTTGTATCACTACCTTGTTTAATGAGAGAGATGATTGTAGACTTGTATCAGTACCTTGTATGATGAGAGAGATGATTGTAGACTTGTAATGGATTGTGCCTTAATGCATTATTGCTGCATATTGATTTATGTATAGAATGAAAATATGTTATAGTTTTTGTATTTTTCATTACTGTTACATATAGTGATTTTGAAATAATATTTTGTATATATTTTTTTACATTGTTTTGTGTCAATATTTGAGAAATTTTTCACAACATTACACAAATGTTGGACTGAATGATCACATGCCTGAATACAGACATGTTATAATATTTTTTTTAAGAGAATTCTTCAGCCATTTGTTCCCTACCAGTAGAACCTGGAGGGATTAGAGTGAGAGGAATCATCAGATTGTGCCATATCTGTAGTATTTGTTCCGGCAATACCTTTGATTTACAGTTGTTATGTACCTCAATAAGAATTAATTTGTTTGCCTTGCAGCTGTACAGATTGTGAATGATTTCAAATGAAAATAATTACAGGTTATAAAATGACCATTTTCATATCCTATCCCATACCAGCCCCAGATCTAGACCTCCATATCAGCCCATGGGGCCAGAAGCCTGAGGGATAAGGGTAGTTACAAGGTAGAGTATGGAAATGGTCATATAATTACAGTCAAACCTGCTCATATGATCACCTCTATTAGACCACCTGTGTTAAGAGACCACCTTAAATGTCCTCCATTGCAGTGCTTTCTTCATTAACTGAACCTCTACTGAGAGATCACCTGTGTTAGGAAACCACTTTTTGGACTTCCCATAGGTGGTCTCACTGGTCTGTTCATACAGGTTTAATTGTACAACCTTTCTATCATAATTGAACTTAACATTGTAAGTTTGTCAGAACAACATCCAAACTATTAGCAAGAACACATATCAGTTATAATTGAGGTTAGATTTTTCTAAAATATGTTTAACTGTAAGTAAAAATGAGTTGTGCCAAGAAAATATGGTGCATGCCAGGAAGATATGGCGTATGGCGGCCCTTTTATATTGTGTGCATGGCATGATATGGGTCAGTCCGGTTATAACTGGAGGACAGCAAGGTGTATTGCACACATCTATATATATAATGATGTGACATATTACATTGTATTCTACATAATGTTATATATATACGGATTGATTGTCTTTGTAATACAGACAGAAATACAGGGAACTATCATTAATTAGGGCGTTAGTAAGCAGCAAATCTCAATAGGACGGCATTAATCAGGGAAACCTTGTTTATTATGACATTAGTACGCAGCAAATCTCAATAGGACGTCATTAATCAGGGAAACCTTGTTTATTATGACATTAGTAAGCAGCAAATCTCAACAGGACGGCATTAATCAGGGAAACCTTGTTTATTATGACATTAGTAATTGTGGAAACCTCGGTAATGAAGACAACAGTAATCAGGGAAATGTCAAAATTAGGAAATAGGTTGTTAGGTTATCTTTGTTAAAGGGTGCCAACTTTTCAAGAGAAGTTACTCTTAGTTACTCTAAGCCAGAAAAAAACTCCTTTTGGTAACTTTATCTTCTACATAGAAGGGAGGATACTCAAAGTAAAAAATGCTGAGTGGAAGTCTTTACCTTAAGTTTTGTCGGATACCATCTGTTGATTGTGCTTTAACTGGGATTTAACTGAAATATACTTTTAGGGTTCTTCAATATACAAATTAATATAAATATTTCCAAATTTCTTGCTGTTTATATGGAATCCGCAATTATTATCATTTCAGAAATTAATTGAATATATTTCGAAATGTGTGTTTGAAATGAATATTGTGCACTAAGACAATTATGTTTGAGCCAATAAGAAGATATTTTCTTTAAGTTGTGGTAACCCTTCCTGTTATATTTATTAAACCACAGGGGCATGATACCAAACTACAAAATACATACATGTATACATATGTATATGGACTTGGGTTGGGGATCTGTGTCATGTCCTAGTGATTTAAGCTTTGTTTTTGGGAAATTGAAGTGTCAAGACTAGTGAGGCCATCCTGTAGGTTTAAGCTTTATATAACCCATATATTGTGGCATATCTGAAATTATTTATTTTATTCCAGAATTTCATTAAAAAAATGTACACTGCTAGTATATGTCTTGTGTCTTTCATGGGTATTGTCTAGTGTGCTTTGTAAATAGAAATTTTGTAATATCTGGAAACATGGAAAAATTGAAACAGGCCAGATTGGAATGAGAATGTGGGACCTCCAAACTTATGTTTGACCCTGTACAGTATTTTCTTAAATGCTTGCCTTGATTTGTAGTATTATAATGCAACCTTCGTCTATCTTTGTCAGTCAATACTTTCTTTTTGCTCGACAAATTCACCACTAATTCATCATCTCCAAACATACTGTAGTTCAACTATGTACAAGGCTTCACTGACTGTGTGTTAGTTTTGGAGAAAGTCTGGACTGGTTGGCCCATTGTTAACAAAGTTTCACTGACTGTGTGTTAGTTTTGGAGAAGTAGTATGGGCTGGTTGGCCCATTGTTAACAAAGTTTCACTGACTATGCGTTACTTTTGGAGAATTCTGGACTGGTTGGCCCATTGTCAACAAAGTTTCACTGACTATGCGTTACTTTTGGAGAAAGTCTGGACTGGTTGGCCCATTGTCAACAACGTTTCACTGACTATGCATTACTTTTGGAGAAAGTCTGGCCTGGTTGGCCCATTGTCAACAAAGTTTCACTGACTATGCGTTACTTTTGGAGAAAGTCTGGACTGATTGGCCCATTGTCAACAAAGTTTCACTGACTATGCATTACTTTTGGAGAAAGTCTGGACTGGTTGGCCCATTGTCGATACATTGTCACTTGGTGGAGTGTCAAACTACCATGTACAGGTTGTGGCATTTCATTGTGATGACACTTTAATGTCACCCTTAATTAGCCCCATTATCTGCGGACACTGTTCATATGAT